ATAACCTAATTCAATCCATAAATGCTCATAAATATTTTAGTTATTTATTTTTATTAAAATAAATATGTAATATTTATAAACTATTATATTTTTAAAATTCCAATATTATATTTTTACTTAGGATAAAATTAGTTTTTTTTTGTCTTTTTTTCTTTTTTTCGTGTTTTAAAATATTGGTAGACCACTTTTGACTTTGAAATATTTAATCTCCAAATAAATAAACAATTTAAAATATATTAAAATTAAGCATTAAACTTATATATAATTGGGCGCGTTTAAAATATAACACAAAAAACAAGGACGTTCAATATTAAAATTCAACGAACACTAACCCGATGTCGGATCACAAAATCCTCCTCCTGCTCCATGAAAAAGGAATTGAACTTATCGATCTCGGAGTTCAACAAGCAAACAAACTCGACTTCAGCATCGGTATCAGCATTAGCATCAGTGCTTCTCGAGATCACCCGAACCAGTTTCTTCAGGTCCTTGTATAAAAGGAATTTGTCCCTCCAATCGGGCAATGTGTCCTCAATTTGTTGCTTGAGACGCTTCCCGAACTTCATCGGATTGTGTTTTCGTCGGAGGCAATGAGAGGAGGAAGAGGAAGAATGAGGAAAGGAGGCTTATAAAGAAAAGGGGAATGAAGAGAATATTAGGAGTATATGCTTGGCGTGATGAAATGATTGTTAGGGGAAAAATTAGATTAAAAAATAAATTTATTGAAGTAAAAAAAAAAAAGAAAAAAAAAAGCATATTCGATTGGTTTATTACGTTTTTTTTATTTAATAAATTAAATAGGACTGAGGCTAATTGATGTCCCGAGGGATTACACTAACTTCACATGCGTGTCATTTTTGCCTCGTTCTCATTGGTGCCGTACAATCTCAATGTCCAATCATATTCCGCATTTATTTTTTTCCATTCTAATATTTTTACGCGTTTTTTTTGTTATAATTTGTTTAATTATTTTAAATCGATCAAAAAGTAAAAAATAACTAAAAATAATAAAATAAAAATGAAAACTTGATGAAGTGGGCCCACACTACTTATAAACTTTAATACATATATATATACACACACATGTACGTACATACATTTACGATTAGAAATGTTAATATTTTGTATTTTTTTGACAATAAAATAAAAGAGAGAGCAAAATAAAATGTGAGCACTTCTCGCTTTACCGATCGAGCTATTGCGCTCCTGCATGCTCTCGTAAAAGACTAAGTCGGTCATTGACTAAGATTCGTTCCTGCTCGTGACGTGTACTGTGTCTATCACCTCGATACGATACTATAAAATGTATGATTTCTGCGTGCTCTCGCAAAATTCTAAGTTAGACATGGATTAAATTGTTATAAAAAGAACGTGAATTTGTAACTTTTTATTCGATGATATAATAAAAATGTAGAGGGAAGGAAGATTCTCGAGAATCTCCTCGTAAACACTAATTATCGTCGATAATCAAAATAATAAAATATATTTAAAAAAAAAAAGAAAAAAAATTACGAGGGGTGACTTTGACTAAACGATCTTTTTAAAAATGAAAAAACATGGGAATATAATTCCTCATATTGTTCCTAATTTTGGACCCCTAGTCGTAGGATATGAATTGGATATGCTTTGAACTTAAAACATTTGTGGGCCCCCACCTTCCTTTCATTTCTGGCCGTTGGATTGGTTTCATCTCCACTCACCATTTTCAGGATATTCTTTTCTTGGATTCTTCCCCCATTAATTATTTTCTTTATTATTATTATTGTTATTATTATTATTATTTTGATTAAGCATATGCTCTACCATTGCATCAATTTTCCTTTTTTTTTTCTTTTTTTTTTCAATTTAGTGTTCATAAAGTTTCCATTAAATTTAAATATTAAAATTCGCTATTAATAATATATTTATTATGTCAATTAATTTTAATATTAATGGACAAAAAAAAAATCATATAATTCAAAAAATGGATAACTAAGATTTTTTTTCGATTAAAAATGGATAACGAAGAGAGGTCAACTAGAGTGGAAATCGGAGGACGAGCCGAATGTCACAATCGCACTTTTAATGGCAGCGAACTTGCAATTGTGCGGCACTCACTTTCCAACGACAAGTGAGCTAAGCCAATTCGTTCTTGCGTCACCTACGGCCAAGCGACGTATGCTCGAGCCTCTGGCCTCGGTTTTAAGAGAAGGTTTTTAGAAAGCGAGGGCAGAGAGAGATTTTTGAAAGAGACGTTATATAAGCAAGCAAGAGAGAAATAAGAACGACTTACCGTATATAACCTTGGGTAGGGAGAAGTTGACAAGTAGTCGTATCCCCTATAGTAAATTTTGAGGTATTTTATGTCTGACAGGCATAGACATGATATTTCTGAAACGTCATATTTCCTAGAAATACAAAAGTAAAACACTAGAACTTTTCATAAAGGGGGCTTGTCATGAGCATGCGGCCATGGGCAACATACCTTGGACGAGCATGACCGTGCACCGAGAACCCATGACTAATGGAAAGAACCCGAACACAACTCATGTCTGATTTTTGTTAACAATTCTTCCTCATCTTCATCTTTACATCTTATTTTAATCGTCATACACCTGAAATTTTCCTCGTTGGAAAATTTGTGAGAATAAAAATTTTCGTTATATATAAGTTTTTTTAAAAAATAAGATAATAATTTTTTTTAGTTTTAATATCATTTCTATTAAAAAAAATCATCGTAAATCTAATAGTATTAATTTTTAAAAACTTAAATTTCCGAGAATATAATCTTCGTCTTTGGTCCCGTTTAGTTAAGGGAGAGAAATTTCTCCTCCATTGTTTAAACGAGGATTCCTCCCATGTGGACTATAAGATTGGAAACCCATGGCTCTTGAAATGTCTCTCATATGGACTCTAAGATGCTCGAACATCGAGCCTCGTAATGATGATAAATTATTCAATGAGACTGCTACAATGTGACTGTTTCTTAATACAGGAGATTCAAAAGAATATATGTCCGTAATAATTTTTGCATAAAAAATCGAAACATTTTTATAATTTCTCTCTCTTACATTCAACGATTCAAAACTGTCAGTCACATTATAATGGTTTGATCGAATAATTTTTGTATACTAAATGAGTTAGGACATGCAACCCTACAACTTCGAGGTATATGAAGTCATCCACACTCTATCTTCATCGTGTATGTAACGAACGCTTCGTTCTTTGCACTGGACGCCGTCGGTCAAAAGATTATAGCCTTTTTGAATCTGGGTACGTAAATAAGCGCAACCCATCAATTATTAATACCCAAAAGCTTCACTGTATCGGCTTTGGATACTCGCAATCAATAATTATTAATACCCAAAAGCTTCAACATTTTGGCTTTGGATACTCACGATAACATCCTATTCTAAGTTCATCCAACCATACCATTGAAAAAAGAAATCAACTTTAAGAAAGGGAAAGAGAAATGAAATGATGGGTGAGTCTTACTCTCGAGGTATTTTCTTCAAACGTCATGCCATATGTCACGATTATGCCTGTCCTGTTGTCCATGGCCGCATACCCGTTGCATGCCAAATCTCTTGCATTGTATCACTTTCCTGCTTTTCTTTATCGCTTTCATGATGTATAGTTCATTTTTTTTTGTATTTTCCAAGTCTACGTCTTGTAGACCTGAAATGTCTTAAAATTTACGGTACGGAGATACAACTAGTCGTCAATACTTTCTATCTAGAGTTACTATGCTATTTAAGCTCTTGTGTTGTCTTTCCCGCTTATAATTTATAACATTGCTTTCAAACATTTTTTTTTTTCGAAAATCTCTCTACCCAAGAGAAGTCCCAAGAAAATCCAAGACCCAACCTATAAAAGTTAGTCTAGACGCCGACCAAGGTTGACCCTATTCAGCTAGGTCAACCCAAGTGAACCTAGCCGAGCCCCCGTGAGTAAAAGACCGACAAGGACAAGCCTAGTCATCAACACTTCCTACCTAGAGTTACTATGCTATTTAAGCTCTTGTGTTGTCTTTCTCGCTTATAGCTTAGAACATTGCTTTCAAACATTTTTTCGAAAATCTCTCCACCCAAGAGAAGTCCCAAGAAAATTCAAGACCCAACCCATATAAGTTAGCTTAGACGCCGACCAAAGCTAACCCTATTCAGCTAGGCCAACTCCAGGGAACCTAGCCAAGCCCCAGTGAGTAAAAGAACGACAAGGACAAGCCTAGTCGTCAATACTTCCTACCCGGTGTTACTATGTTATTTAAGCTCTTGTGTTGTCTTTCTCGCTATAGCTTATAACATTGCTTTCAAACATTTTTTCAAAAATCTCTCCACCCAAGAGAAGTCCCAAAAAAAATCCAAGACCCAACCCATAAAAGTTAGCCTAGACGCCGACCGAGGCTAACCCTATTCAGCTAGGCCAACCCAAGGGAACCTAGCCGAGCCCCAGTGAGTAAAAGACCGACAAGGACAAGCCTAGTCGTCAATACTTCTTACCTGGAGTTGCTATGCTATTTAAGCTCTTGTGTTGTCTTTCTCGCTTATAGCTTAGAACATTGCTTTCAAACATTTTTTCGAAAATCTCTCTACCCAAGAGAAGTCCCAAGAAAATCCAAGACCCAACTCATAAAAGTTAGCCCAGACGCCGACCAAGGCTAACCCTATTCAGCTAGGCCAACCCAAGTGAACCTAGCCGAGCCCCAGTGAGTAAAAGACCAACAAGGACAAGCCTAGACCTGAAATCTAAGGTTTTCGATCAACCCTGTAAGACGTATTCCATCTAGGTCGAGTCAAATGATTCAATTAAAAAATCCGAGCTCTAAGAATCATACCCGTAAAAAAAAAATATATATAGATAAATTCAAACCTATTAAATACAAAATTTTGAAACTGGAGACAAGCAGGAGAGAGAGATACAGCAAAGCAAAGGGTAAGCAAGACCAATGCAGCAAATATATATAATAGTAAAAGACTAAAAAAATTCCATTTTGGGTATCACCAAAATCTCTCTTGAGGCGCTGTCGTGGTGCGTGGGAACCCACTAGCAGCTTTTTTGTCTTCTCTAATTTCCCTCTCTCGCTGTTCTTCATCGATATCATATTGTCCTTAGATATATCTTATAATGTCCCTTTCATTTCAAATATAAATACACATTATTTTGCTGTTTTGCTGTTTTTAAACAAAATTTCATCCCGAAACAGTATTGATTTTCTCATTAATGGTGTCGCTGTTTGAGGAATCTGGGTAGTTGTCGCCGTTTGTGTATGTGGAGAAACGGGTAGTTTTTAGATTACCCTAAAAAAAAAAATTAAATTAAATTAAATCCTGAGAGAAAAATGGGAATCCATTGATTTGTTCTTCAAAACTTGTTCGTGTTCTTCCGGCTTCGATTCCTTCCCTGCATTTTGGGTCTCTGTTTTCTGGGAGAGAGGCAGATTTTTTGTGTTTCTTCTCTCTCCCTCTCTATATTTTGCCCTTATGTCTCAGCCGCGGCCATTTCATAGCAATTATAGCGTTGGCGGCCAATACAATGATACCACTTTCACCAAAATCTTCGTCGGAGGCTTGGCTTGGGAGACTCAGCGGCATACAATGAGAAGGTTTTTTGAGCAATTTGGTGAGATTTTGGAAGCTGTTGTTATTACTGACAAGAACACTGGCAGATCCAAGGGCTATGGATTTGTAAGTGTCCCCTTTCCCCTTCCGTTTTTTCTTTGTCGAAATGGGGATTTCATTTGGTGTTCTTCTGGGTTTTTTAGGTCACATTTAAGGATCCTGATGCTGCCATTAGAGCTTGTCAAAACCCTTCCCCTGTGATCGATGGAAGAAGGGCTAATTGCAATCTTGCTTCTCTTGGTGCTCATAAGCCTCAACATGGTTCTTGATTGTTCTTTCTTTTTGTTTTCGTCTCTTAAATGGATCATAGTTTATGCATGCAAGGTGTTTGATATTTTGCCTCTTCCAAAACCTGTGATGACTTCCTTCAATGGAGGCCTCTGAATCTGTGTTTTTTGTTGTGGAGGGATATATGAAATCTAAACAAACAAAGGAAGCCATGTTTTTCAAAGATTAACCACAAAAGATTGAACAAATTTGCAGGTGGTGGTGGAAGATTTAGAGGTCCATCTGGGATTGTGACACCTCCTGCTTATCATGTTTCTTCATCGTCTTATGTTCATCAGCCCACTACTCAATATCCATTCCCTCTTTCAGCTTATGGGTAAGGTTGCAAGAGGAATCATTAATGCATGAACAAATCCCAGTTCCAAATTTTCCTGTTTTTTTGATTCAATCTGTTCTTTTTGATTCTTTTGGCCTAATTTCAGCTATTCTGGATACTCACAAGACAGGATTTATCCAATGGTGCGAATGTTTTAATGTTGGTTTGTGTTTGTAATGTTCTTAGCATTGATTTGATCTGAGCTTGGTCGTGTTGTGTAAGCAGAACTATTATGGTGTTTATGGTGGCCAACAATTTTCTCCTTATTACTCTGCAAACGCGATTCCGGGACCAGCTGGAATGTTTCAAAATCTCTATCCGTATTACGCTCAAAGTAGCCACGGATACGAGTTCGGAGTCCAGTATCCACACCTAATGCAGTACCCGTATCTTCCTCAGCAGCACGGTTCGACCGGTATCCTATCACTGCCTGTCTCGACCGCAACAGGAACAACCAGTGCAGGTGATTCTTGTAATCTAATCCTTGTTATCTAAAGAATGTCATTCGTTTGGAGCATGTTGGTTTTGAAAGTGAATGTAACAGGTGCAGCAGCAACGACGACGACGACAATGGCAGTTGGAGGATCGGGGCCTCTACAAACTTCTTCTGCGGTAGCAACCGAACCGAATTCTTCCGAGGTAATCTCAACTGGATGACACAAATGCCTTGTTGTCACACGCTAACCACATCGACAAAGCTTGAATACTGAATAACAATGGCAAGTTTTTAAGTCGTGTGATTCGATAAGAAGGATGAGGAAAAGGAAAAGGGAAAGGAAAAGGAAATTCACGTTCCAGCATCGTCAAGTCGTTCATGAAAACGTCGGTAACAAGCATATCCCATCTCTATCAAGTATCAACATTATTTACGTTTGGTCATCTGCCATTAGTTTGTTAGAACAATTAGCTTAAGAATTTTATTCATTCATGTATTATGCGAAAAGACGGGGAACCAAATGAAGGGTTTGGATTCTTCCCGTGTTTCATTCTGACTGCAACAAGACGATCGTGTCGGGGAAGCACGTAGCCTCCTACGACACTGTCTTGTTTCGATATGATTAACCGTGAACGGTTCAAAAGATTGATTTTATATCTTTTGAGCTTCACAATTTGTGGTTGGTGAAGAAGGGAGTGGGATTAGTTAGAAAAAGATATCTGTGTAATATGTTTGAGCAAAATTATTGGGTGTTCTTCTGCTGTTCTTTCACATATCATTATCAGTTGGGGTTCTTTTTGGTTATTAGGATTCTCTGGCTTACCATAATATCACCTCTTTTCCTCTTTCCAGTCTGTGTATGGAATCCAAAGCCTCCTAATAATTTCATGTCTTTCTTACCTTTTGAATTTTCTTCTTCCTTTTCTGTGGGTTTCTGTCATAAAGTTGCTCATGGCTGGCGGTAGGGAATCTGTGTGCTACTATAACTAGCGGGACAACGATTGTGCGACGTTTGTTCTAACTCGGTAAAGAAACTCAACCGTGAGAAATTCTGTAACGACCTAACCCATTAGACTTTTCCTTTTGGGTTTCCCCTTAAGATTGTAGGGAGAGTTTTCATACTCTTATAAAAAATGCTTGTTCGTTTCCCTCTCCAAATTTGAATGTTTTCTAAAACATTTCTTGCGAATGTGACTTGAAGCTCAAATAGACGTCGACGTTGTCGGCGTGAGTGAGGAAATACATTTGAAAACGATTTGAAAGAATTGAAGACAACTCTAAACAAATAAAGGAACACTGCAACTTAAATCAGGGTAAGAAGAAGTGTCAATTAGTCAAATCTCTTATGGTATATTTTGGACCATTTTAGCCCTAGCGGGTGAACGATCAGCATGTAAGAGGGGTTTGGAACGGGTATGCGCAGATGCAATACGTCCTAGACAAGCATGACCAGGACTTGTCTAGGACATCCGGCCATAGCCTTAGGACAATCTGACACTTGGGATCCTTGGATCTCTACAGACAAAGGTTTTGCCAGTTTGAACTTTAAAAAAAAAAAAAAAAAAAAAAAAAAAAAAAATATATATATATATATATATATATATATATTAATAAAACTTTTTGAAATTTAAGGGTTTATTATTTTAGCTCATTTTTTTAAGTTTTTTTTTTAAAATTATTATTACTTGAAACAAAAACCATTTACCAAAAAATAGAAAATAAAAAATAAAAAAGGTAAACCCTACACTGCAATCCACACGTCAACCCATCTTTCTTCGTTCTTTATTTCTCTTTTCCTCTCTTGTATTCTTCTCTGTGTTGCCGTCGCCGACCACCGGCACGCCCCCGCCACCACTCTTTCTTTTCCGTCTCAGGAGGCTATGTTCGTAGCCAAGTTCGATCGAATAACATTTTTTTTTCAGGCGCAAGAGTTGATTTTGAGGTGAAGACAGAAAATCCCACTAAACTGGTAATTTCCGGAGCTCTGAACTTTCCTTCTGCACATAACATGTTTGTCAAAATGCCATGTCTAAAATTTGTCAAATTTCTCTTGAATTTTCGCTGCAGTTCGGTAAGATTTTGGGCACTTGGTTCAAACTTTAGCATGTTCTTGATTAAGTAGCTATGACTGTTAGGTGGCCAAGGCTTTTAACGCCCACACACCTGTCTCAGATTATTAGGAAGCAGAACAATCCTTTCACAGCTTACCAACTGTTCAATGAAGCCAAATGTAGGTATCCAAATTATCAGCACAATGGTCCGGTGTACGCCGCAATGATCAATATACTTGGAAACTCGGGTAGAATTTCCGAGATGAGGGAAGTGATAGATCAGATGAAAGTTGACTCTTGTCAGTGCAAGGATTCTATATTTTCATTTGCAATTAAAACGTATGCTAGTCATGGATTATTGGAAGAAGGTATATCTCTGTTTAAAAGCCTTGGGGGATTTAACTGTACCGATAGAACACAAACTTTCAATACCCTTTTGGAAATACTCTTGAATGAATCTCAGCTCGATGCTGCTTGTCAGCTTTTTCAGCAGAGTTCATTTGGTTGGGAAGTGAAATCCAGGACTCAGTCATTGAATTTGCTAATGCAATCTCTTTGTCAAAGAGGCCAATCTGAACTTGCTTTACATGTCTTTAAAGAAATGGATTACCAAAGTTGCTATCCTAATAGGCTGAGTTATTTGATTCTAATGAAAGGACTGTGTCAAGATGGTAAGCTTCATGAGGCCATCCATTTATTGTATTCCATGTTCTGGAGGATTTCTCGAAGGGGTAGCGGAGGGGACATAGTAATTTACAGAACCCTTCTGTTTGCTTTGTGTGATAATGGAGAGATTGAGCAAGCTGTGGAAATACTAGGCAAGATCTTGAAGAAAGGACTGAAAGCCCCTAAGCGAGCTCATTACTTGATTGACCTCAACTACTGCAGGATTAGCAAGCTCACCGTCACGGAAATCAAGTGTTTAATCAATGAAGCTTTAATCAAAGGTGGAATTCCCAGTTCAGATAGTTATTGTGCCATGGCTATCGATCTATATAACGAAAACGAGACTGATCAGGGAGATAAAGTTGTTAGCCACATGCTAGCTAAAGGCTTTTGGCCACCATCCTCAGTCTATGAGGCGAAAGCAGCTGCATTATGCAAAGAAGGGAAAGTTGATGATGCAGTGAAAGTAATTGAAGAGGAAACGGTGAAGGGAAGTTGCGTTCCAACCGTTGCGTTGTATAACATCGTTCTGAATGGTCTTTGTAGGGTGGGCAAGTCAACAGTGGCTATGGAGTTCTTGAAGAAAATGGTAAAGCAGGTTGGTCTTGTTGCAGACAAGGAGACTTATAGCACTTTAGTACATGGTCTTTGTCGTGAGAATAGATACACTGAAGCATGTAAGTTGTTGGAGGAGATGGTTATCAAATCACATTGGCCTTGTTCTAACACATTCAATACACTTACCAGAGGTCTTTGCTCGGTGGGAAAACCATATAAAGCAGTGATGTGCTTGGAAGAAATGATTAGCCAAGGCCAATTGCCGGAACTTTCTGTTTGGAATGCTTTGGTTTCATCTTTGTGTTTCAATGTGGCTGACACTGATATGTGGTCTAAGGTCTTACGACAGATACGAAGTTGTTGATGTTCTGTGCCAGAGTATGTACAGTAAGATATAAATCTCATTTTGGTACCAGATTTTTACATTGATTCAATACTTTCAAGTATTCCTAAACTTTAAAAATAATCATTTCGATCTGGATGGTTAATAATTTAGGTCTGCGGTGTTTTCGCTAGACGGTCTTTGTTAGTAGTGTCATCCTCCCCATTGGCTATATGGGTAGGTTGCCCCTGTTTCACTGTACCGAGATGTGAGGTGCAGGTGGTGATGATCATCCTGGGGGTATGCGGGGTATGCGCAGGAGCCCTTGATAGGCACTCTAGGACCTGTCAATGCTCATGAAAGTCCAAGTCAATCATCCATTCATTCAACCAAAGGTGTGGATAACGAGGCCACCTTTACAGGTATGCGCAGGAGCCCTTGATAGGTACTTTAAGACCTACCAACGCTCATGAAAACCCGAGTCAGTCCTCCATTCATTCGACCAGAGGTGTAGATAACAAGACCACCTTTACAACCTTCCCCCTCATGTCCCTATGTTGTAAGGTAGGGCGGTTTGCCTGGGTAGCTCAACTACCCCTTAGCTCGGTGCTCATGACGTGATCGTTAACAATTTAGTAGAGTGATGGCTTTGAAAATAGGTAGATTCATCAGTTGATGTGAGCATGTATTGAAGCTATACTTTTAAAATTTGTAGCTAGAGCTTGAAGTGCATTATTTGAAGTTTTAAAGTTTCTTATTTGTAGCATAACGGTAAGTTGAACGTATCGAGGGACGAAAAAATACAAAAGTATGTATCATATGGTATAGATATATAGAATTGAGGTCTGTTGACACTTGGTAATCCACATAAAATAGAATAATCAAACCATTTTACAATGCATGTTTTCTAATTGTTGCATCATAGCAGCCAAGATGAAGCCAAGAGAGGAATTTCTTAACAGAAAATAACCAAAGAATATCAGGCAATATTGTGAGTATACTAAAGGTTTATAGTTTAAGAGCAGCAATAGCTTCAGGTTTAAAGTCAACTCTAAGACCCAACACACGCCTAACCTCTGCAGGGGTAAGTCTCCAAGTCATAGGTCCTGAGTTCTCACCCCAGAAGTCTAGAATCTCTGAAACCTTCTCCAAGTTGAGAATTGTGGCCATTTGAGTGAGACGAGCGAACTTATCTCTGACAGTTCTCTGAGTCATGCTGGAAAAGTGGCTTACCAACGCCCTTGCATCTCTGTCAAGTTGAAGCCCTCCAAGCTGACTGAATCTCTTCTGCACCATAATCACTTCGAGTCTCTTAACGATGAAATCGATCACCAAATGCACAAACGAGTCGTAGTTATTGGCAGTCATTAGAGGCTGAAGCCATGCCACATTTATCTCCACACCATGGAGAAGTCTTTGGACCCATGGGTCATTCACCTCGTTATCAGCATACTCAGCTTCCGATAGTTCGTAGCTAATTGTTGCAACAGTATCCAAAACAGGACGAATCCGAGGTGTTATGGTCCCGACCAATTGTTCCAGGCCAGCATTCAAAGCTTGCTTGAAAGTGTTGCTCATGTCGCCTAATTCAGACAAGCATGATTTCACTTTTTCTCTGTCCGCAGGTGCGGGAAATACCTGGGAAAAACGGTTCCACTCCACTTGTGTTACATATGTTGGAAATAAAGCTACAAAATAACCAGTACAAATCTAGGCACTGGGAGAACTCATATGAAACAAAAGAACAGTAGCGAAGTTATTCAACTGATGTAATCAATTACAGCGATGGACCAGATATGAGAGAGTAGAAAACAGTTAAGATGTCAACTCACAACTGTCATTGCTTCGTTGCCAAATTATTCAATCCAGACATAGAAAATACACAATCAACTTTGGAAGAGGAAATACACAGTCAGCATAAAGTAAAACAAGCTTAATTTCCAGATCAATTTGATTCTGAAATACTACATGATAAGATACATTCTAAAGATAGAATGCAGCAGAAAGAAGATGCAAAAAATAGGTTACTTGCTCTCAAAGATCAGATTGAACTTCTAAACACTGAATTCTACACTAGATAAGGCTGAGACCGAGCAATAATTGTCAATCTTTTCCGGTTAAGCCTGCTTATCATGCAGCAGAAGGATTTTTTTTATTTTTTTATTTTTTATACGGCCATTTGGAGTGAAATTGTTCTTATAAGGGATCAGTAGCCCTGGATGGCATCAATACTTTTGACAAGTTGCAAAGGAGATTTCCTCGCCTTCAGATCTCCCCAAACATGTGTTTTATGCAAAGAGTGAAGAGATTTATCTCATCTCTTTCCACACAGTAACTTCTGCTGCAAAGTTTCAGATTCTTTGGGAATCCGCTGGCTTAAGGTACATTGAAGACTGGATGTTGTAATTACTAACTGGTTGGAGTCGGAAAGGAAAGGTGAAGGTGTTGTGGTCCAAGGTCGTTAAGGCTATTATGTGGTTGATTTCGAAAGAAAGAAATGCTAATATTTTTAAAGATGTGTACAATTCTTTTGCTTACTTTTGTGATCTTGTACAGCTCATGGCCTCTAATTAAAGTAGCCAACACAAATCTTTTGGTAACTACACTACTTCGCTCATCAACTTAGATTAGAAGGTGCTTCTGTAAGCTCTAGCCTTTGGGAAACGGACTTCTTGGCCCTTGGCCAGTTAGGTGTTTCTCTTTTGTTCTTTCTTCTTGAATGAAACACTCATCTCTCATCAACAAACAAAATAAATAAAGGTTTTTCTAGTGCACCGTTGATTCCTTTCAACCCCGAAACAGATTGTAGAATTTCTTAGATAGAAACTAGTCAAAGAGTTTTGACAGTCTTGGCATTCAGAAGTTCTATTACAAATTTTTTGATGAGATCTCCATCCCACAGTTCCAGAATCATATGTCTATCAGTTCAATTTCATGTTCACTAAATTCATGCTTTGAACGTTTTCCAAATGTGAAACATGTGATGAGAGTACCAAAAGTATAGAGTTGGGGGATTGAGTCTGGTTTGTGACTATTTTCCAGGCATTTGTACATAAAGATTCTTTTAATTGCCCTTTAGACCTTATTATTTTTTATTTGAGCCTCTTTTGTATATTTAGTTCAAGTTGTGGTTTGGCTCCTATTATTGGACCGCAGTTCGTAGGCGCTTTAGTATTCTTTTCCAAGCTACCAATTTCAAGGTCACACATAATTTTAGGCTTAGGGACAATAACCAGATTAAGAATGTTGCACACCTGATAACTGAACTACATTTAAACAGAACTAAGGGATATATTCGATTCGAATAGTGAAACTAAAATTGAACATCAGATGGGGAAAATGCAGCTTAAAAAACCGTTCTAGTTATATGGTATTGCTATCAGATGTATGTCAATGAACTATGCAATTTCAAAAGCAATACTCATTTGCCAAGGGTATAAGTTCACACAACAGATTACAAAGTTAACAAACTGGGTTTGCAATCCTAACCAGCCTTTTAAACAATAAACAATGAAAACTACAAGTGTAAAAAAAACAAAAATAAGTTGTGTAATATAGAACAATAATAGTAATTATCTTTGAAGCAAATGGTAAAGGTGAAGTATAATACCTCCGCACACTGCTCCTCGATCTCATGTTTGAGTTTCAAAACGTATTCACTACTCACGTCCATGTTATTCAAAGCTGTTGCGATCTCCGTCCCCGTCTTCTGTACGCCAACACCACCTAAGAATAGTTTCGCACCTAAATTTGGTTCTCGCATTTTCTGCTGCAATGCCTCTTGGTATTCATTGCTCAATAGACTACTAGCACCACTCAGAACTGCAATCAATGAACTGATATTCGAAGTAGATATTGCACGTCTTAAGCAACTCTGAAGAACATAGAACACATCGTCCACCATAGAAGTTGTAAGACTATCAGGCACCTGCTCGTCGATCTTGATAGCTTTCCTCACATTTTCTACCATGAAAAATCCCTCTAGAATCACGTAAGATCCCGTGATATCTTGAACCGCTTTGCTAAAACTTCCACTTCTGAAAGCCTTTGTAGCTCGGGGAACCAACTCGGGATCTATAGAACTCAATCCCTTAATTTTGGAGACCATGAATTCAGTGTAATCCTCACCTAACTGCATCAATGTCAACAATTCTTCCAAGTATAACTCGATTTCCCTTGGATCAGGTCCTTCTGGTCCTCCACCAACAGCTAACAAATTCTTGCTTTGAGCATTGATTTCAGACGACAACTGAGCTAGTTTCCTATATTCCACATACTTCTTCAATATTAAAGATCCACGTGAATCACACTCCTCCTGAAGTTCACAGATCGCATATACAATCCCATCCTCACCACAGAGACTCCTTAAGATCTCATCGTTTTCTTCTACAGCCAAAACAATATCCTTGAACAAATTTGTCAAGCCTCCAACAAAATTAACTTGGTTTTGGTTACTACCTACATTATGAGTTTGGTATTGCTGCTCCATCATCTCCACCAAATTCTCAAATTCAAGCCTAGACCTCATTCCAATCACCTTCTTCAAGTACCCCACATAAACCTGCAACCCTTCCTCCTCCAAACCTAACGGAGAGTAAAGCCGTATGAATCGCAAGATCGTGGGATGATCCCGCTGATCTACAGCCGCCGAGAGCCTCTTCCTGACAATTCCTTCCAACTGTTTCTTCGATTCCAGCAACTGTTCCCTCTGATCCGACCCGGAATCCTTGTACTTATCATCAATTTGCAGAAACGTCTGCACATACTTGGCCGCAGATTCGTAATCCTCAGAATCGAGAGCTTTCTTAACGCCTTCAATACAATTGCCTCTCTCGACAATGGCGTCGATGCGAAGTAAGGTGGAATTGACCCGCGACTGAGCCAGATCAAGATCGCGAACCTTGGCGCTAACCTGGTCGGCGAGGTCGCAGGTGGATGTGACATTAGAGAGCATGTAGTCGGCATCTACTTCGACAATGCCGATGACTTCAGCGGAGCGCTGAAGCTGGACGAGCTGTTTGTCGAGGTCGGAGCGTTGAGAGAGAAGATTGTCGAGATTGAGGTCTAGGGCTCGCTGGTACGCAATACACTCGTGAAGGAGACGGGTCATGGCTCCGACGTCGGTGAGGGTTCGAATGTGCTCCAGTGCCTCGCTTGAGCCGAATTTTATGGAGTCTTGGTGGTCAAGGTGACGGTCATCTTCGACGGCGCCGGTGATGGACCCGGTGGGAGTGGAAGCCATATCCTGGAGAACCGAATTGCAGGCGGAAAGCTTCTTGTCCGGAGGAGTGAAGCTTCCGTATCTATTTTTCTTCCGTCCGCATATAACCCAGAAATATTATTTATTTATTTATTTATATATTTACTAAAAAGCATTTGAAATGTAACCTTAATTATTTTTAGAATATTACCATTGAAATAATATTGTAAAGAAATCAGTAGTTCTTAAATTTATTTTATTAAACTTCGAAATTTGTTCTAAAAATAACAAAATTTTTCATTATGTCTTTTTGAAGACATCGAAAATGAAGATCTTCAATGTTTCATTTGAACTTACCAACGACTGTTATCTCTGTTGGATGATGAAAGTTCCACGTCCCCTAATTTAGAGAATGATCATGAGTTTAAATCAAAGAATACTCTCTCCAGTCAGATGAGGCCTTTCGGGAGAGCCCAAAGCAAAACCATGAGAGCTTATACTCAAAGTGGATAATATCATACCATTGTGGAGAGTCGTGTTCGTCTAACATGGTATCATAGTCATGCCCTAAACTTAATCGTATCAATAGATTGGTAAATCCTCAAATGTCGAACAAAGGACTCCAAAAGAAAAAGGAGTCGAGCCTCGATCGATTAAGGTGAGGCGTACTTTGTTCGATGGGAGGTGTTGGATGATGAAAGTCCCACATCGGCTAATTTAGAGAATGATTATGGGTTTATAATCAAAGAATACTCAACAAAGCCATGAGAGCTTATGCTCAAAGTGGACAATATCATACCATTGTGGAGAGTCGTGATTCCTAGCAAAGCATATCATACCATTGTGGAGAGTCATGATTTTTAACAATCTCATTGTAGATATAGATAAAGACAGTGCGGTGCGAGCTTCAATCCAATTTTGGAGTTGTATCTATAAAAACTCTAAAATAATAATAATATCAGTTCCAAAACATTAGTTCATTCATGTGAAAACATTAACTTATATCAATAAAATTTCTAAACTTACATAAATGAATCACACATTGTCATGGTAAATCTTGATCATCTGCCTAAGGAAACCTTTGTTTTCGATCTATTTGAGCTCTCTAGTTGGACAGGTGAAAACATTAACTTATATCAATAAAATTTCTAAACTTACATAAATGAATCACACATTGTCATTGTAAATCTTGATCACCTGCCTAAGGAAACCTTTGTTTTCGATCTATTTGAGCTCTCTAGTTGGACAGGTGAAAACATTAACTTATATCAATAAAATTTCTAAACTTACATAAATGAATCACACATTGTCATTGTAAATCTTGATCATCTGCCTAAGGAAACCTTTGTTTTCGATCTATTTGAGCTCTCTAGTTGGACAATCTAATACATCTACTGCTCATACGAACATGATGGTAAAGGAAAAGGAGGTTCGAGATCAGAACTTTGCTTAATCTCATAGGTCAACTACCGAGTCTCAGGAAGAGTTTGCGTGTGAACAGGATTCGTTCCCAAACCCGCTTGCCTACCGACCTTAACTTCGCTTTCTAGCCCTTCTACGCTTACCAGCGCCTGCATTCCTTTTCTTGCTTGTTATACTCCTTATACCCACCACATTCCTTTGTCTTTGCACCTCAGTCACGGATCGACTAGTTGTCTTGTTTGCTATACCTTGAATCCGTGATCGACCTATATACCAAAGTTGTAAAATGCTACTGGACTCTAGAACTAGTAGAGGAAGGAAGTGATGATAGGTCGAGAGCATTAAGCGTAATCCCGTTAGCTAATGACAGTCACCGATACAACATTCTTCCAATCAGGTGTTTTAAGTTCCTATAACCTTGAAAACCTTAGTAGTGCTGTGTCAAAGCAAACCCTTAGATATGTGCTTCCCAGTTTGCTATACCTTGAATCCGTGATCGACCTATATATCAAAGTTGTAAAATGCTACTGGACTCTAGAACTAGTAGAGGAAGGAAGCGATGATAGGTCGAGAGCATCAAGCGTAATCCCATTAGCTAATGACAGTTACTGATACAACATTCTTCCAATCAGGTGTTCTAAGTTCCTATAACCTTGAAAACCTTAGTAGTGCTGTGTCAAAGCAAACCCTTAGATATGTGCTTCCCAGTAGAAAGGCTAAGTAAATCAAGATCAGTTTAGAGTATTCCTTATCAAAGATTCTAATACCCTCAAAGCAAAACTTTGTAAGATTCTCAATGCAGATCTCACAAGGATAGGTAACTTGATCCTTCTAATAATTTAGCTAAAAATCAAACTTGTAACTGATTAAGAACATTTAAACAAGATGAGATTTCTTCTTTTACTTGTTCAAGAAGAAGGGCTGCAGTCAAGACTCGTTCCTTTCCAAACCCTCTTTAACAATGAGTTTCCTGTTCTTGAACTCCTACATGAAAGAATGAAAAAGGGTCAAAGATAAACAAAAATGGAATGCAAAATTCAAATTCCAAGAGATTCAGATATAGAATTTTACTGTTCCATTCAAAGAAATTGCTGCATCACGCTCTGCAGCTGAAGAGAAAGAAAGAAAACCGTAAAGACGACTCTTCCCAGCTCTACGATCATTCAAAATTTTTGCACTGACTACAGTTCCAAATTGGCTAAAAAGGTTCCTCAGATCTTCAGGTTTGACATCCCAAGCAAGATTCCCAATATAGATTTTGTAAGGACTTTCATAAATTATGTTCTTCCTGGGTGATGAATGCAGGTTATTGCGATTTCTCATTTTGGGATTCATATCAACAGCAAATCTAACGCGCATTTCTCGTCCACCAACATCCTTCAAGACAATAAAATTCATCATTCAATCATACTGAACGGGCTAACATTAAGACAACTTATAATTGATTTGACACTAACAGAACAATCTAATGCCGTAATTGAAACTTTAGCGGAGTTTATTGAACCCATTGTGACATAGCCACATCCCTTGCTTATGCCTGTCTCTGGATTCCGAGAGACCTGGTCCAAAATACAGAGAGATCAATAAAAAATGGCATTCAAAACATGAAAAGAAACATAATCACTGCTTGAACTCATTCAATGTTACTCCAGACAGATAAGAGAATTAAGGCCTGCCTTTAAAGAATCATGATTACCTTCGGGTACATTGAATTTGTTAAGCATCAAAATTCAAAAAAAATGCTTTCCGGATTCCAATTAGCATGATCTTAAACTAATTGTTTACGGAAGTTCCAAAGAGAAATAGAAGCAAATAGAGCATTCTGGAAATCTAAAACGAAAGAACAGACGATGAAGCATTACTTGGAAATAAAACTACCTCAGCAGCCAAGACTGTACCAAACGGTTTAAACATCTCAACCAACTCTGCAATGTCGCAACTCCTCGGTAAATTACACACGTAGAGCTCACAAGGCCGTGCCAGATTTTTCACTTCCTGATTCGAAACGCTGTCTTCGCTCTTAACACCGTCTTCCTCGATTACCTCTGCTGTTATCGCAGCTTCCTGATCAAGAACAGTGAAAATCACTGGAAATCTAGCCCCGTGTTTATGCCTCAAGAAACGAGGAGAGCATGAAGAAGATGAAGAAACACATGGCATGGGAGGAGCAACGAAAACCAAGCGGGAGAGTTTCCAGTGGTCAAAGTGGATGGATGAAGGCAAAGAATGCAGCTGTTTCAATGGAAAACAATTATGAAATTTCTGCCCGAGGATCCTTGAGGAAGAAGACAACGACGAGGAGGATAAGCAGCTAGCGGCGTTCGCCATGGCGGAGATGAAGAAGCTCAAACCCCTCTGTCACAGTCTCAGTTTTGGGCGGATGGATTAGATATGGATAGCGCCATTAACAAATAAGTCGGGTCGGGCAAATATTCTGTTTCTAGAAATTTAAAATCTTTCTAAAATTTTAAATAATATATTTTAATATTTAACTTATTATATTTTTTATTTATTTAAATCATATTGAAACATTATAATATATTTAATAAATTTGAATCTCAATTTAAATTTTAAATATATATATATATATATATATATATATTTTTTTTTTTTTTTTTTTTTTT